AGAGGCTTTTTAAGGTTTTTTGTGATATTTGCATTGGTAACTCCGCTACATTTCCGAAGTAATTGGACGATTTTATTAGCGCTAATTGTGATATGAATTGTGTATAACTTCTATGCAGAAAGTAATCGTATCATGCACTGTTGTCTTTAACAGCGCACAGTGAACCAGTCCTGAAATTTGAGGTTCACATGCTTAAACATTGAGTTCCATGAAAGGTGTATACGTTTTGATTACTAGTTGGTGTTCTTGTCAAACATATATGGACATTTGAAAGATTGTGTGTCTCTCTGTCGAATTTGGGTCACTGCCAGATATTATTTAACTTTATTTTTTGCTACAACATGGATTTCATCTCAAAATACGCCCTTTTGTTCTGAGAATTTTTTCCCAATATTAACTAATAGCGCTTATTTCGAATTCAAAGTGATATCTAGATCTTCCTGCTGTCCAGATGTCAAGTTCCTGTAGATGAAATAGCTTTGAAAGAAATGTATTTTCAGCCGATGTCGGAACCGGAAACCCGGCTCCCGACACCTGGGCGAGTCCCATCAGGATCAGCTTCTGTTGGTGCACTCCCTCCGTTAACATTACCTCCGCCACGCCTTGATCCTCTGGCAGGAATCTCCTCCGTACATCACTCGTATGCTTCGCCTAGTCTTGCAACTCAGGTTGATTTCTTATGCGCTTACTTCTGTAATAGTTATCATGATTTACTTTTGTATGCTTGAAATAACAGCATGTTTTAAGCTCAGGGTCTGTGTGATAGTGTACTTTAAAAATCAACTTTATTAGAGTGAAAAAGATGTCGGATAGATTTTTGTTCAAGAAAAACAATGTGCATCCTTACAAACAAAAGATATCGCGTTGTCATAGAGGAAGGGAATGAAATATGCACTGTACAGTTTTCTCACTAGTAATGTCAAAATTTCTTCACTACACCTTTTTTTCTGTAACAGAACGAGGAGATTGGAGACGTTAGGGGCTAAAACATAGATTAGTTAATGTTCTTTTCAACCATTTAGATGATGCCGTCGCCTATACTGCAATCAGGTATGATGTCGCCTGTATCGACGCAATCACCCCTCAGTCATCAGATGCTTTCTCCACAGCAGAAGCCTCAAACGGGTCGGTCTGTTTATCATTTGGTTGAGTTGGGAAAGTACCATTTACATGGCAAAGTACTGCTGTAGTTTGCTTACGGTATAAGTATTTTTAGACAAAAAAGTCTTAACAAATATTATGAAGTTACTCTGAATCTTTTCCATCTACTTTGATTCCATATGGGCGAAGATTCCAACTTCTTGTAATTTGGGAGTTTTTCTTTTATTTTCAGTTTCATCAACTGGGCAACAACAGCTTCAAGATGTGCGTCGGCAAGGTATAATGCTTGGACAAGACCAGATACGGGGACAATTTTCTCATACCGTCACTACTGTGCCTTCAAATAAAAGGCCTAATGAAATGGGCAGACAAATTCAAAGTGGGGTCATATTAAAACGAAGCTTCCGTTCATTATT